CCATCGACCTTGGGGACTACTCCACTGGTGGGTCTCCCCCAGCTCACACATAGTAGTTCCCTGTTTCTACAGATTTTCCTAGGAAATCCTGCAGGGGGTGCTATAACAGATATCCACTTTCCCTTGATTTGATCATATACAGTGTGTGCATGTATGGGAACATCACGGTGCTCTCCTTGAATACAGTTACGTGTCAGTCAGAAGTCAGATAACACTTGAGAGAGGTGTCAGTAGCACTGGATACAGCAGATGTCCCCTGAGGATCACTTGATGTCCTTACCGGAACTTTACTACTCCCTGGTACATAACTCCCTCTCCAAGGAAACCTCTTGGCTCTAAGAGGTGGAGAGCAAGTGACCCTGACTCTTGTTGGTTGGACAAAATGATCTTCGTAAGGGCTTCCTTGCTGTGGCACTTTGGACCTGCTTGATCTCTTCTCAGGAGAGAAAATGCAGAACTCTGATAGTTCATGTGGACTTATTTCTTCTGATGACAATAGCTCACATTCACCAAGATTTTGCTATGTGCTAGGATCTATGGTTAATGTATTTTCACATTACGGCTCATAGGAGAATTCTGTGAGGCAGGGACAGTTAGCCTCATTTTATGGACAAGGAAATTGAGGCGTAGGGAGGCTGAGCAGGCTGCTCAGCATGATAAAGTCGGTGGGAACAGAGCTGGGAATGAGGCCAGGCTGCCTGTTGCTTAGTCTTGTCTTCCTACTTGCTCTGGGACATGTCTGGGGGAGTGAAGTGTGGGTTTGTTGAGTGTGTGTGTGCGGGGGCCACCCTGTGTCTGGAGAGCAGTGTTGGGACCACCTCTGCAAGGCCCCGAGAGTTCTGAGCTCACTCCTCGGCCCCGGTCTCGCTTTGCCACAGGAAGCTCTCCGTGTTCCTGGCGGTGCTCATCTGCCTGCTAATTACCTCCTGCATCATCTTCTTCCTCTTCCCTCGATCCATCTCTGTGCAGCCTGCAGGCCTCAACTCCTCCACGGTGGCTGTGGACAAGGCTGACATCCACCTCAACATCACGGTGGGTGGGTGCCCTCGGCTCCGAGTCCCTGCCCCAACCTCCCAGGGACACAGCTCCCCTATAATCTTCACCTGGTGTTGCAGCTCAGCCTGTAGCACTGTATCACTAGAAGGTGTTGAAAGGAACAAAAGAGATGGGTTGGGACTGTGTGCAGTGAGGGGTCAGAAGCAGGACCAGAAAAATAAATGCCAGGGTGGGTGGGAATAACAGTGCTCAAGGCTAGCGAATGGAGAGAAGCCTCGCAGGGTTGAGTGGGATTCTCAGCCAGCTTAACCTCTGAGCGGTGACCTCTCACCCATGTAAACCTCTCTGAGAGGCTCCTAGTTCTGATTTGTGTGCAAATAAGGCCTGTGAAGGTAGAATAGGGGGTCAGGCTTGAAAGCCAAGCTCTATAGCTGCTTTTCTCTTCGACGAGTAGGCAGTCTTAAAGCCTCCTTTTCCTCATCTTCCTCCCCAGAATATTTTAAACATCTCCAATAGCAACTACTACCCCATCACCGTGACCCAGCTGACCACGGAGGTTCTGCACCTGTCCCTTGTGGTAGGTCAGGTATCCAATAGCCTCCTCCTGCACATCGGCCCTTTGGCCAGTGAACAGGTAACTCCCCTTCCCCTTGGCCCACTCTGCTCACAGGTGCATGGATGTGTGTGGTGGGAAGTGGGCAGCCAAAGGGGGAACTAACCATGTGCCCATTTGGTTGACAGATGTTTTATGCAGTAGCCAGCAGGATCTGGGATGAAAACACTTAGTGAGTACCGAGTACCCCTTGATCTCTTCTTCCCCAGCCTCCTGCCTTTCTTTGAAGTTGTTCATACCTGCCAGGTTGCCTGAGTGCTCACACAGTAAACTGTAGCCACAGCTTAGCCCATTCCCTCATGGTCAAGGCTGCCCTGTGTGAGGGCTCAGCCTCTTGGACGTACATTGGACTGAAAACCAGGCTGTAATGTGGTTAATCGTTACCAAGGTGACCTTGGGCGCTTCTGTCTGAATGGCTGAGGAAGATGAGCATTTTCTTTGCTGTTGAAGGAGGCTCCAGCAGGCAGGAGCTGGAGTGCCTGGCAGCCTGTTCCCCTTAGGGGGTGAGGAAAGGGGTGGAATGGTGTTTTCAGGGCTCCTGCTGGAAGGGAAGGAAGGGATCTAGAAGACAAGGAAACCGATACCTGCCCTCTCCCCTGAAAGGCTGTTCCCTGTGAAGGATGGTCCCAGTGTTCTCACTCTCTTACTCTGTCCCTCAGCAAAATCTGTACCTGGCTGAAAATCAAAGTGCACCACGTGCTTTTGCATGTCCAGTAAGTAGACTTGGAATGTGTGCATCCCCTCTTGTCCTTCCTGCCTCCCTCTCACCCCGGCTCCACTTCTAGCCAAGCTGACTCCAGGCACTGTGGTTACCTCTTGTGGGGAAGAGCAAGTCTGGCCCTGTGTCAGTCTACCTGGGCCCCAGGCTGTCTGGCAGCTGCAGGAACACGGGGGAGATGGCCCATGCAAGGACTTAGCAGGGTGGGGAGCAGACAGGAGGGCAGGGAGAGGTCCCCAGGAGCTGACCTCCTCCACATAGCCAAGCAGGGCGGGTGCTCTCCTCTTCCTCCCACACATACCAACAAGACCTGCTTCCTCCCCAGGGGCACCCTGACCTATTCCTACCTGCGCCACTCCGAACAGCTGGTCTTCCAGAGCTATGAGTACGTGGACTGCCGGGGAAACAGCACGGCATCCCACCCAGGTCCCCACCCTCTGTGAGCTGTCTGTGGTCCCTGTGCTCCAGACCCCTCCATGCAGGCCTGGTTGATGTCTACCAGAACTCCACGCTGCCCACAGCAGGAGACTGGAGACTGCCAGCCAGAAGCCTCCTGCAACCTCCGGGTACCACTTTCACTGTTTCAGATCCCCCAGATTCCATCCATGACTGTGTTGGATCCTGCTCCCTCTCAGCCTTGACCTGGCATTGTAGTCTTGAGCTGCCTGCAAGGCCCCAGATCCATGCCTGCCCTTTCTGTGCTCAGTCCCTTGGTTGCCAGGCTCCCTTGGGGCTGGCCCTCCTCCTGCCTGAACATGGACAAGACTGCAGGTTTTCTGCCTTTTAAAAGATGAACCCTTATCAAGTTCCCCCACCCAGGTGATAGCAGTGACTTGGGACAGCCAGCAGCTTTGATGGGATAGTCAAAGCACTCCTGGCTTGATCATTTGGCAAGGTGATGATGCCAGCCTGCTTTTCTCTGGCCACTTGTCCTCTGCCCATCTGGTAGGAAGACCCATCAAAGCCCTCTGTTGTTTCTGATTAATGCTGTCCCTGGTTTCTAGGAAGACAGGGCTATTCTCCAGTGTTAGCATCTCTTTTGTGAAACAGTTTTACCAAAGCAGCAGGGAATGGAAGGAAGACACCTGCCACCCGCTGAACCAAGCAGGAAAGACAGAGCCAACACCAGAATCATTTTTAAAAGTCCTGATGTGGCAGAGGAAGGCTCCTAAGCCTGCAACTCTGAGCCTCCATGAGAAGACAGGGCCAAGTCAGATGGCTGGCTCTGCTGCTGTCTTCCAAAAAGAGTCTCCAACAGACGGAGCTGTCCGTGTCTCAGCAAAGCTTGCAGACCCTGTAAGTGTGGAGCAGCACATCCCCAAGATGGGGCCAGGCCCTCTCTTCCCTATCACCCGAGATAAGCCCCAGATTCCAACCAGCCTCCTAGTGGAGGGGTATGTATTCTTGAGCCCAGCAGGAATGGCATTGGCTCACTGGAGATGGCTCGGTTCTTCTCAAACAGGTAGAGAGACAGTAGATGTCTTGTGGGAGAACTAATGGAGAAGCAAGGTGAATGGAGAGAGGGTGAAGGGCTGACAGAAGCTGGTAACTAGCTGGCTAGGGGACCGAGGGCAAACAGGGTGGTACTGGCTGGAGCTGCTGTGTGCATAGGTTGGAAAATGCAAAAGATTGATATTGTTCAATAAACTTATACTGACAAGGGCTGTGTTTTAATGGACTTGTTTATTTTTAGATTTATTTAGGTGAGAGGCAGAGAGCAACAGAATTCCCTCTTGTGCTGCTTTATTCTCCAAACCCCCGCAGCAGCCTGGGCTGGGGTGGGCTGAGCTGAAGCTGCAAGGTCTCTCATGGAGGAGGCAGGAGCCCAGCCCACCTGAGCCATCGCGGCTGCCTCTCAGCGTCTGCATTCCCAGGGACTGAAACCAACATCCCGTATGCCAGTGGCTCTGCTTCTCATGCTGGTCATGGTGAAGCGCCTGGGAAGGCGGCGGATGATGGCCTGGAGTACCTGGGCCCCCGCTGCCCATGTGGGAGACCAGGATGCAGTTCCTGACTCCTAACTTCAACCTGACCTAGATCCAGCTGTTAGGGCCTTTCGAGGAATGAAAGAGCAGGTGGAAAATCTCTCTCCCTCTTACTCTGGCACTCTGCCTTTCAAATCTTTTTTTTGTTTTTCAAAACATTTTTATTAAGATTTTTAATTTTTATTGGAAAGGCAGATTCACAGAGAGACACAGACCCTCTGTCTGCTGGTTCTCCCTAAGTGGCCGCAACAAAAGGAGCTGAGCCGATCTGAAGCCAGGAACCAGTAGCCTTTTCTGCGTCTCCCACACAGGTGCAGGGTCCCAAGGCTTTGGGCCATCCCAAGCCACAAGCAGGGAGCTGGATGGGAAAGAGGGTTGCTGGGATTAGAACTGGCACCATATGGGTTCTCAGCATGTGCAAGGTAAGGACTTCAGCTGCTAGGCTACTGTGCTGGACCCTGGTCACGGTTTTCAAATGACAATTCTTTGTTCTGGGTCTGCTCAGAGTCCTAGTGAGCTGAGGTTCAGCTCAGAGCCATCTGCAATATTGGGACATTAGTGCCACTGTTGTGCCCAGATTTTGAGATCCCCATAAATCACCAGGAGTCTGAAGTCGATCCAAGAGCCTGCGTTCTTGGTTGAGAACAGGCAGCTGGCAGACCAGCCGGCCAGCCAGGACCGACACCCCTTACCGGAGGGTGGCCCCAAACAGCACATTCATAGGGTTTTTATAGGAGCAGTCCACAATAGCCTGCCAGGTGAGGGGAAATTCCACGCATTCCCTACCTGTCTCGGCTGGACAGCCCACGCCTCCAGCAACTAAGGTAAGCACCCACTTCATTACTTGGAGCCACCTGTGAGATAATCAGACTTAGGTGGGCCTTGATTCATAAGAATTGGGGCCCATCGTGCTAAAGGTCACATAGGCCGTTTAGCCTGCAAGCTCACACAGTTTCTTAATAACAATGAGCCATGAGCAAATGGTTGGGATTTTGATACTGAGGTTCTTCACCACCGCTCCGTGGCCAGGCTGACCAGCTGCTCACTGTATCATCCCGGTCTTTGAGAAATGTTTTTCCACACACAGATGCACAGTAATTCTAACAGAGGGATTTTCATTCCTCGCCCCTACCACCAGGGTAGAAATAACAGTAGTGAAAACTATTCCTAAATCTGGAAAGTGGTAAACGCTTACTGAACGTAGTGATACTATGTTCTCAAGTCCTTTTCCTGGGTGGCCCTGACCAAAGCTTGCTGTCTCCCTCCTTTTGTCATTGGGTGCCTCTGACGTCTCTCCTACCTTCAATATCTGCTCTGCACTCTCCCAGCTCTCTCCCAAGGGGCTCCTGGGAAGTGACGCCCATCTGACTGTAACTGAGACGCCTTATAGCCACCTTTCTCAGGACCGGGGAAGCAAGAACTTGCCAGGACTATCACTTCCTAAAACCCACTCCCCTTTCCACCTTGGGCTGGGGAGGTACCTGGGTATACAGAGCTTCTTGGTTCTCTCCACTGGATGGAAATGCAGAGTCCCAGGCAGGGAGAGGCTTGAGGACCTGGGATGGAAAGCCGCCTCCCCTTCCCAGGGCCGGGAGTCCTGCACCCAAGGCTGCAGCCTTCTTTGCTCTGAACTCCAGCCGAGTACCCCCTGTGGACCAGAACTGCACTGAGCCGGAAGGTTTAATGCAAATCCTTCTCCCCAGGGCTGTGTTGTCCAGGTGCACGGGCTCAGGGTCAGCCATTAACCTGAAGCCACCGCTTGACCTGTCCCTGCTGAATGAGGGCCAGTAGCAGGAAATGCAGGTGTGGAAGGTCACGACAAAGTCCTCGCCTTGGCTGTTCTAGCAAGCGTGGAATTGCCTTCCACGTTCACCTCGCATCCTCTTCGCCCTGCTGCCTTTCCCTCATCTGCCCCAGCCCCTTCCACAGCTGAACGGCCTTTTGATTCTTCCCAAGAAGAAACGACAGTTTATTCCCAACTAGTCTTCCAGACTGGATGGCTTTCAGAGTAGAGCCATTGCTGGGAAGCAGGCAGGTACGGCCAGCCGTTTGTCTGCCTTTTGGTGATGGCTCGTGGGGTCTCTGAGGCCATTTCCGGATCACCACTGCTGTGTGTAATTGATTGACTGAGAAGGGAGAGAGAGAGAAAAAGGAAATAAAACGAGGTGGTTAGCGATTTTAGGCCCTGCTGGTTTCCAGACATTGTGTGAAACCCTTGTGGTGAGAGGAACCAGAAGGAAATGAGCAGCCGAGCCCCATCCTAGACGTGCCAGCACCACGGTTTCACAGCCTTTGTGTCCTTCAGAGCTTGCAGCTCTGCTACATGCTGGTGAAGATTCACTGCCCCAGCCCTGTGTGGTGGCACAGTGAGTTAGCCTGCCACTTGATGACACGCACACAAGGGTTCAGGACCCAGCTGCTCTCCTTACCCAGCTCCCTGCCGGTATGCCTGCAAAAGCAGTGGATGATGGACCAAGTGCTTGCACCCTGCCACCCACATGGGACATCCTGATGGAGTCCCAGGCTCCCAGCTGCAGTAGCAATTTATAGAGTGAACCAGTGAATAGAAGAGTGACCTGCCTGTCTGTCATTCTGCCTTTCAACTCATAAAGAAATTTACAAACAGGTGCACTCCCTGCTGACAGCCTAGGATAAGCCAGCCTGTGCTATGTGCTTCTGATGCCATCTCCTTTCATTGCCGGACTCAGCCTCATGACACCTCTGTGGAGGAGGTGTGACTGGTCCATTTTACAGAGGTAGCAGCTGAGGGTTAAAATCCCTCTCTCATGGGTGATGTGGCTTCCTGTCTTCCCTTCTGCCTAGTCCAGCTGCCCGTACCTGCACTCAGGGTGACCCTTTGTTTTGCCTCTTTAAGAACTTGTCTTTCTAAATCCATTTCCAGCCCCTCCAATTTATACTCAGCATACAGTGACAGGCCGTATCCTGGCAGAATCAACTCTAGTCACCGCACCGCCCCCATCCCTGCTTCCTGACTCTTGCTAAGGAAAGATTCCCACCTCCCCCCTACACACACACACACACACACACACACACACACACACACTCATCTCTGTCTTCCAGACTTGCTCTCGGGCTCACCGTGAGTCGAGAATACTCGTTGTACTTGGGAGGCCTACACTGGCATGGGTTTAGGAGACCTGATAACAAAACAAAACACCGGTAACTCACACAACAGTTTTTAGGATAAGAACTCAGTAGGGCTGCACTCCTAGCCATACGTAGGTCTGTGGGCCAGGAGGTGGGGCTGGCACATACTTGGCGCAGGGCACAGACAAGCTTGGCAAAGGGAGTGGCCACCAAGGCAATAAAGGCCAAGGACACAGAAAAGAGATCTGGCCTGGTGATCAAGATGCTACTTAAAACACCTATGTCCTGTGTTAGTGTGCCTGGGTTCCCGGGCCAACTTTTGTGATTCCTCCTGCTGATGCACACCCTGGGAAGCAGCTGAGATGGCCTGAGTAGTTGGTCCCTGTCACCCATGTTACTCAAACTCTCCATTGCATTTCCAGCTCCTGCCTGGCCCAGCCTCCACTACTGCAAGCATTTGGGGGACTGAATTAGATGAGGATTCAGCCTGTCTATTTGCTTGCAAATATATATATATTTTTTTTAAAAAGCAGTTTTAAAGAGAGGCTGATGATTGCTGAGAAGGGTCCTAGAAGGAGGGTGGCAGATCCTGGAGCACAGAACCAAGCAGTATGCTATCTACCACCTCCCCAAGGGCAGGGAGTGGTTTCCAGACCAGCCCTATACCTCTCCCTCCATCCGCTGGTGTCCAGCAGTGGGACTGACCTCCAGCCTGATGGGTCCCTGCAGCAGCAAGCTGGGCGCCTGGCCTCTGGGCATCCTTCTGGAGGTTAGGCTTGAGGGTGCACTGAGCCAGAGGGTCTTGGGTGCTTTGCTGCACTGGCTGTGGCGCTGGCTGGGGTGGTGGCTGTGACTGTGATGGTGCCATTGGTGAGAGTGACTGTGCTGGTGGTGGCTGTGGCTTCTTTGACTCCTGATGGGGCTCGCGCTTTTTCTCAGGCTGACGTTCCAGCTCTTGCAGTTTCTTCAGTTCCTAGCAAGAAGCCCCATGTAAATGGTGCCCTCCACCCTCCCTTCCCACCAGCTACCTGCTGCCAGAGAAAGTTCAGGCAGTGAAGCAAGCAACTAGGCAGGGGCAGGTGAGGCAGAACCTGGGACCCAAACTGTCAACCATATCCTTTCCAGAGAATGGCTCCCTGGCTGGGCGATGCCCTGGCACTCTCTGGGCATTTGTCTCCTGGCATGGAGATTGGCCATCCAGGGAAGTTTTCAGTACCAGTAAACATGAGCTCTATGGAAATATTTTGGAACAGTCTCCTCCAGGGACCAGCATTGGGGAACAGAAAAAAAATCTGTGCCCATGTGCGATACCAATGCTTGCAGGTGAAGGATTAGCTTGCTGTGTCACTTAATTTGTCTCCACAACCCAGCTGTATTTTTTGAAAGGTAGAGTTCTAGGGGAAAAAAAGAGAGAGAGAGAGAGAGAGAGAGAGAGAAATCTTCCATCCCCTGACTCACACCCAAATGGCTGCAATTACCAGGACTCGAAGTAGTCTGAAGCCAGGAGCCAGGAGCTTCTTCCAGGCCTCCCACTTGCATATCACTGCCATTCATGTGGGAGAAGTGGATTGAGTGTCCTGGTTGCTATGAACTTTGGGGAAGTAAATCAGCTGATGGAAGTTCTCTGTCTGTATGTCTGGTTCTCTTTCTGTCTTTCAAGTAAAAATGAGGATAAATGCTTAAAATGTTTTATACAAGAAAAGGAAGCCTTGTAGGCTTAGTATAATCCTAGCCTAATAAACAGCAAACTGAGTCAAGTGAAGCCCACACTCATGAGCTCATCTCCTACGAAATCTTTTTTTCCCATTCTTTCCCTGTCCCCTCGACGGGCCTGACCCCTCTCACGCACCTGTTCTTGGTGCTGCTGCTTTTGCTGCTGCTGCTGCTCTTGCTGGGTCAGCAACCACCTCTTTCGGTCCAAAGCCATCTGTCGACGCCGGGCCTCCCAGTGGTAGGCACTACCCATGATGGTGGAATGGTGGAAGGCCCTGGGCACGCAGTGGGGGCAGGAGAGCCCAGTAAGCTGCCACTGCCCCCATTGCCTCTGTCACCTCGCATCCCATCCCCAGTGCCTGTAACCAGAACCACCTCACAATGTGGCTGCTGTTAGGGCAACTGGACAGGCCCCTGCCTTGTTGGGGGAAACAGGTGTTCTTCCCCAAGCTCCTCAGGAATGCCTGGAACTCTCCCCCAGAGTCCTGAACTGGCAGAAGACACCTTCCTATGTCAGCTTTGCATTTCATGGTACGTAAGAATGGCTCCACAGTACAGCCTGTCCACCCTCCTCACTGGCTCCTTTGTCTCCTCTTCAGGGGCTTCGGGGAACAGCATCTGGCCCTTTGGCAATCCTCCCTCTCTTTCTGTCCTCCATCTCTCCTCTCTGTCTCCCCCATCAATGTCTCTGATGAATCAAGAGGACAGAAAAGGGCCTGGCACGATGACTCAGTGGCTAAATCTTCACCTCGCATGTGCCGGAATCTCATATAGGCACCTCTGTCATGACTGCTCTACTTCCCATCCAGCTTCCTGTTTGTGACTTGGGAAAACAGAAGATGGCACAAAGCCATGGGACCCTGCACCTGTGTGGGAGACCCAGAAGACACTCCTGGCTCCTGGCTTTAGATCAGTTTGACGCTTGGGCCATTTGGGGAGTGAACCAGCAGGTAGAAGATCTTTCTCTCTGTTTCTCCTTCTCTGTAAATCTGCCTTTCCAATAAAAAATAAGTAAATCACTTTTTGATGTGCATTTTTAAAAATTTTGAATTATATAGTACAATTCCAAAGGGTCTTGGATTCCTCCCTCGCCAAATTCCCATCCCCAATTGACTTTCCCCATATGATTACAATAGTATAGTTCTTCATAAGCAGTCATAAGTCCAAAAATCTGTCATTTAAGTGTAAACTTACAATGCTGGTACAATGTTAGACAATCCAGCATCCCATTGTTTAAATATGTCCAACAGTTTCCTTGGGAGTCCATCTTAGATTTGGAAGTAGGGTTGCATACTGCATTGTATCTTTACATCTGGATATGATAGTTTCTATTACACAGCCTCTATATATTCTCTTTTTTTAAATTTTTTAAAAGATTTATTTTTTTATTATTTTTTTATTGGGAAGGCAGATATACAGAGAGGAGAGACAGAGAGGAAGATCTTCCGTCCAATGATTCACTGCCCAAGTAAGCGCAACAGCCAATGCTATGCCGATCCGAAGCCAGGAGCCTCTTCCGGGTCTCCCACGCAGGTGCAGGGTCCCAAAGCCTTGGGCCATCCTCAACTGCTTTCCCGGGCCACAGGCAGGGAGCTGGAAGGGAAGTGGGGCTGCCGGGATTAGAACCGGCACCCATATGGGACCCTGGCGCATTCAAGGCGAGGACTTAACCACTTGCGCCACCGCGCCGGGCCCAATATATTCTCTCTTTTTTTAAAAGATTTATTTTATTTATATTGCAAAGTCAGATATACAGAGAGGAGGAGAGACAGAGAGGAAGATCTTCCACCCAATGATTCACTCCCCAAGCAGCGGCAACGGCTGGAGCTGAACCAATCCGAAGCCAAGAGCCAGGGGCTTCTTCCAGATCTCCCACATGGGTGCAGGGTCCCAAGGCTTTGGGTAATCCCCCACTGCTTTCCCAGGCCACAAGCAGGCAGCTGGATGGGAAGCAGGGCTGCTGGGATTAGAACCGGAGACCATATGGGATCCCGGGCAAGCAAGGCCAGGACATTAACTGTTACGCTATTTCACTGGGCCCTCAATGTCTTCTCTTCCTGTAACCTTGCACATCCTAATTAACCTGTCTGGGTCTGTTTCCTCACTGTGAAATAACAGCATCACTTGCTACCTTCTTTGCAGGGTTGGTAAAAGGACCAAATGTATTAGGGGATGGAAAATATAGATGGTTTACAGTTGGTCAGCTACAGGTTAGTTTTATTCCTTACCCACTTCACTCGTCCAGGAACTTGTGTCCCCAGAGGGTGGAGTGACCGGGTAAGGGGATCACTCCCTAAAGCCCAGGAGAACTTCTGGACCAGGGACTGTGTCCTCAGAACCACCCCAAGTGGCATGTAACTACACACCCTCATATGCAGATATAAAATTTTCTGGAAACAGTGAGTCTGAGTTCAGCCCCAGGCCTCAGGGAAATGAGAGGGTGAAGGTGAAAAGGAGCTTCAAACCCAGCCCTAAGCCATCTCCAGAAAGGCAGGGCTGGGGTTGGGGAGCAGCCCTTGATCACAGGTGCCAAGCAGCAGCAACGGCTGGAGCTGAACCAATCCGAAGCCAAGAGCCAGGAGCTTCCTCCAGATCAGTTCTGGCGGTCAGCATTGCCTTGAGCTTTGGCTCAGACAGACTTGGCTTCAATGCTGGCTGGGTCACCTGCTGGCCAGGGACACTTGGGCGGGCCACTCTATCTCCAAGACTTCCCTGTGAATTCTGGCGGGAGACCCCAGGATGCTGGAGATGCACCTGACCTCACAGTGGGGCACCCAACTTCAGCTTTTTGGTTTTGTTTTCGGTTAAAAACAAACAAACAAAAAAGTGCTTCCTCCTCATCTCAGCACCCAGGGATGCACAAAGATTTCCAGATGTACAAGACAGACTTGCCACTAGACATTTACCTTCAATTCAACTAACTCAGAACAAGAAGACAGGGGTTGTGAGCAGGACTGCCACAGTCAATGACTACATGGGCCGAGCAGGATGTGGGGCCGCGCAGGCAGCTCTTGCTCCCTCAGTCTCCTTTTTTTTTTGGCCTCCTCCTTCCCTGGGAGGAACTGAGATCCGAAGGGGAGAGGTTTGGGCGGCAGAGGGGGCCTGGGCTGAGTTGGGGGGGGGAGGATCTCAGTCACCAGCCATGCTGCAAGAGGCACTGTCAAGGCATTTTGAAAACTCCTGACATGCCACAAGCTGATCACTGCCTTCAAGATGGGCAAAAGCAAGCAGGTGGTTATTTTGCAGGGCTCCAAGCAAGGATTAGGGAGCATCCAGTTTCCTGGGTTGGAGGGGAGCAAGGGGCCACCCGGGGGTAAAGGTCCTTATCCATCTAGGTTGAGTGTAAGAGGGCCGTGTGTTCAGCTGCTGTCCAGGTGCTTGGAGCTGTGCACTGCTGGTAACATTCCTGGAATTGGTTGATGGTGCGTGCCAGGCTCTTTTGGAATTTTCGGATGGCAAAACTGCTGATCAGAGTGAGTTACTTCTTGCTCAGGGTGTGGAGTTTCTGCAAAAACCCTCAAGGCAAAACTGAACATGAAGATGATACCTACAGGGTAAAAATCACCTCGTGAGTCACCCGTGGGACAGCTCTACTCAGAAAAGTTTTGTATTTTATATTTTCCACATTTATTTATATAGTGGCTCAACTGGCTAATGCTGGCAAGTGCCAGCATCTCATGTGGCCATTATTCATGTCCTAGCTGCTACACTTCCCGTCCAGCTCCCTGCTTATGGCTTGGGACACCACCTCCCAGGAGCTTTCTCCGCCTAGAGCTGGGGTGGGGTACACAGAAGCCCCTTCAGGAGGGTTTCACGGAGGAGCAGACACCGGAGCCAAGCCACGAGGACAGGCCCACGCCCACGAAGCGACCAGGCAGAGGGCCAAGGAGGCCGAGGTCCAGGCAGAGGCCAGCAGGGGAGAGTCGACGTGACGCGCACGAGCGCCAAGTGTGGACAGCTGGAGCGAGGCACGTCGCGCCGCCGCTGACTGGAAAACCTAGGGCCGCCCCCGTGACGATCAGGAGCTCACCACGCCACCTTCTCTTTAGGAAAACCGAGGAGCGCACTGCCCCGCAGCGCCTTCCCTGTACAGACCGCTCTCGCCCATAGCACAACCTCCCTCAGCTCTGATTGTTGGGGCGGTTAGCAAACAACCACACGGGGAACTAAGCCGGAATATGGGACAGCCCTGTATTCGCCATGCTGTGACCGACTGGCGGAAGAGGCGGAGCATGTAAATGAGAGGAGGCATTTGCACCCGGAATGCCGGGAGGAATAAATCAGTAAATTTTCTTCTTCAAAACGTGCAGAGTAGGAGGTGTAGAGCAGACCCTGACGAAGGGCAGGAGCGGTGCGAAAGAAACAAAGGTAACGGTGCTGACACGTAGGGATTGGACTTCTGACCGTGGGTAGAAGGTCTGTGAAAGGAGGGCGGAAGGGGTGAGGCGCTACAAAACCTTATCGCTTCTCGGCCTTTTGGCTAAGATCAAGTGTAGTATCTGTTCTTATCAGTTTAATATCTGATACGTCCTCTATCCGAGGACAATATATTAAATGGATTTTTGGAGCCTGGAGTTGGAATAGGAGCTTGCTCCGTCCACTCCGCGCATCGACCTGGTATTGCAGTACCTCCAGGAACGGTGCACCCCCTTGGGGGAAATGAGTGTAGTTGCAACAGTAGAAATTTGTCTCTCCCTTGCCCAATTCTACTCTTCATATTTGCTACTTGCAATTCCCGCTAATCTATCTTAACACAATTTTCTGTTTTCTTAAGTTTTAGTTTTGTTATGTGTTTTCTTACCATGGGTTTTTTTGTGACCGTGCTACTGGTGTCTGGTCTTTAGAAAACTCCATATCGTCTTCTTCCTGAATAATCATACTCAGACCCTGTGTTTCCTCAAACCCTGAAGTCCTATTTAAAGAGACTGGTTTGTTTGATTCTGGTTTACTGCCATGAAATTTCCCAGGAGTTTTTGTCTCCAGAATAGCATTTCCTGCCCTTTCACTTTCATCTAGTTCTTTGTATACATCATTGTCTGTCTTTCCAACCAAAATAAATCTTTAAAAGGAGGATTAAACCCAGAAAGTGTAAAGGGCATGCATGGTGTGAGTGCTCTGTCATTCCGACTGCGGAAGTCGAGGGATGTGGGTTAACCTGGAGAATACAGCGCAGGACATAGAGCAGGCTCAGCTGAAGCAGAGAGCAGGTGCAGCCTGTGCTCAGACTGGGGCTCAGGGCGAATGGGCTCCAGT